ATCAGTAAACTTCTTCGCCGCGTCAATTTGCAGTTGCAGTCCCTCAGGGGTGTCCGACATACCGACAAAATCATCCGCAAACAGCATTCCTGAAACCGACGTTTCCGTGTCCCCTACTTTTACTCCCTTCCGGACTGCCTCTACGACTTCCAACAGATCGTTGATGAACACCTGGAACAATGTTGGGGACAGCGTGCAACCTTGTGGGACCCCCTGCTCAATGTCGAAGAATTTAGACAGTTCTCCGTCTAGCATGACCGCGCTTTTCGAACACCGAGGGGGGGGCGGCTTGTTTTACAACGTCGTTGCCAAGCGACGAAAACCCAACCCCGAGGGGGGGTGGGGTGTACTGTTTTTATTTTTGCGCGTCTAACGGTAGTCAACTACAAAATCGGGCTTACAAGTGCCGACACTCTTGAAGCATTTTTTTTTATTGCCGCGAATGTCAAAAACATCGATGTGTCGTGTACTCTGTGGGCACCGGCTGGTACATAGTTTTCGCGGCAAGGCATGGACATTCTCGGGCTTGGACAACCTCGCCTGCAACCAAGCACAGATACAAATGTCTCTTACTTGACTGTCTTTGGGCCGGCGTTTCCGAACCCTGCCTGACCTTGGAGGTTGGCAACGGTGCGCCCGACCGGGTTACGCAGGTTGTACAACGCCTAGGGGTTACAGGTCACTTTAACCCGCCCGTAACCGTGCCCACTGGCCACCTGTGTATACTTACTGCTTTCACCTTCATCCCCCCGCCCCAACCCCCGAGTATCTTGCGCCTGCCCGGAAAGAACATGTTTATGTAGGGAATATACTGGGTCTTTACGACTGAGACCTCGAACGCATCCCCATCCACGAGGTGCTCGCTCCTTCCCTAGCCTGACTTTCAAAGCTCGATTGCTCCGCAACCACAACGTAGGTGTAGTGGGCGCTAGCGCGGAAACAGAAAATGTGAAACATCTTTGTCGAGAGCTACTACTAACTACAGCACTGCTGTATACTGTCCCAACGGTCGTTTTTCGTACCCTCTCACTTCTAGTTGTGGAGTTGTTGTTGTTGTTTGCTGTTTTTCTTCACATTAACTCGTGTCAGTTGCTAATCCCAAAATCTAGCAAAGATTCGGTCCGTGGTCACAAAAATGCTAGAAGAGCCATCAATCAGAAGATCTGTAGAACACACACACTATTGGAGTAATCGAACCGGTAGCGGGTGCGATCAATCACATAATGATGGTGTGCTTCGATTTCGAGGAAGATGCCGCCTGAAAAAGCATCACGGATAGAAGAGGATCATCATGACGATCATCATGCTCCACGAGCTGTGATTCTGCGGTTTCAGCTTCATGGATACAACAAGCACAAATCCAGCCGTTGCCACAACAACAAGATGGCTGCACCAAGAAAACACAAGAAGCATGCCAACATCCTGGTGAGGTTACACACACACCCACCCGTGTTTCTCGCTAACCAACCACACTCAAGGCGGCATCCGACAGAGGTGTCCATCTAAAGCGTGAACGGCACTGCCCGCTCTTCGCATTTTGAATGTTAGGGTGATTTGATGCATCTGAAAGACGGTATGAAAGACGATAGCACAGCACTCGCCATTTTTAGAAAGTAAACATAACCTCACAGAAAGACTCGCCATTTATTGTTAGTACCTCGGACGCAATTAATTTCGTGATACTACTGTATGTAGATGGTCGGGAAGGCAATTGTCCTTGCCAATGCCGCGGTACATCGCTCACTAGCAACGATCCACGATGTGCGGCGCAGTGCGGTGGAACCACTTGATGGGGTCGTTGGTCGTTTTTAGAAAGTAAACGTAACCTGACAGAAAGACTGCCCGTTCGAGATACAACTCCGTTGGTTTGGTCGTTCCATGATCGTTGCATGATTTTGGTCAAACGGAGCGCTGTGATTGGCTAGCACGTGCCCGAATGGGGGGTCCTGCTATTCGCGCGGACGCCAGGGGGCACCGATGAGGCACCCACGCTGACACATCTCCTGGAATCTCTGAACCGGCTCTCTCTCTCATTTTTCGAGCTTGTGCGCACACAACCTACGCCGGTGACACACACAGCAAAGCGAGCGAGCAAGCGAGCGAGCACGCCAACACACCCGGGTGGGCTACTGCGAGCTGAGGGCAGCACCAAAGAGGTATGTGTCCAGGCGGGACAATATTTATGTGGATGCGTATGTGTGTTGTTTTTGGGCGTTCGTTTGGTGTCGGGTGTTTTCTTCTCTCGTTTTTGTTGGAACTTCCAGTCAAGAAAAACCAGTGCATGTCCGTGGAGGCCTGTGTGTGCGCGACGGCATCGCCGGGAGAACAAGCGCAGAGCCAAAGGAAGGCAAAGGATTTCCAAGGCCCTGACACGCGTCAGATCTGGCGCCCTGCCAAGGTTTTGCAAAGTTGAAGCAGCAAAAGGCACATCGCCTCACGTTTGCAGCAGTTGGTTTCTTGCCGCTGCTTGTTCCCAACAGCCTGGCGAACGTACGCGTCACCATCACACAAGTGCAAGATCGAAAGATCAGATAGGGGTGCGCAGACACGCGGAGTCGCTCGAACCACTATGGTTTAGCTTCATTACATTTCCCTGCTGCGCTGGGCGCCTCAAGGCGGGACACACGCGATGAGCATGTGGAACACAGAGAACCGGTCGCCTCTGCTATTCTCCTTGCCAAGCAGCGTTCTCCGAAGCAAGAGCTTGCCATGCGAACACCACGGCTGCTGCTGCTGCTGTCGCCATATACACCCACGCACAACGATCGGCAAGATAGTCCACGAGCCGCTACCAGATGCATATAACTGTTGTCTTGGACGACGTTCAGCAGTAGATGCTCGTTACTGCTGCCGCGACAAGCCCCACCTTGGCCTCTCCGCTATAAGCGCAGATCTGGTGGGTGCCTATTTATCCGAGCTCTCGCCGTTTTTTTTTTGTTTTTTCTTTCGCTCACAGGCACTGCTGCTTTCCCCGTGTGGGGTACCTGCGTTGTTCAGACCCCCCCCCCTCTGATCCCCGAAATAGCGATTAGGCAACTCTGTGCGTGCATGATGGCTGCCACGTGTTGCCGAAGCATGTACGTGTCCGTGAATGCAAGTCGATGCATGTGCCAAGCGCGACACGCACATGCGCATTATTTCACGTGCTGGGGTGAAAAGAACGAGCGTTGACTAAACTTCCAGAAAACTGATTTCTTCTGAGCTTTCGATGTCCCCACAGCATATGGTATAGTCTACACTGCAAGAACCCCCGCTCGTCAACAAGGGGGGGGAAAGGTGGAGAAGTTATATCTTGCCTCACTGCAGGCCGAGGTTCGCCTGTTTCATGAACGTGTTTTTTTTTGCCAAATAGAGCGGCTTGTTGTCCCATCCCTTCAATTCACACCGTGAGCTGGCTCTCACCTAAGGTCTCCACCGCCCCGTTCTTCCATTGACCCCCGCCGCGAGGGGGCTGTGGTCGCGAGTGAGAGAGAGAGAGAGGCGAAAGGAGTTCGTCCATCAAGTCTACCGAAGCTTTGGCTTGTCGGCAGATATCAATATCTGGATCAGTTCGCGGTGTTCTCGTACAACAATACGAAACGAGGGCGAAATGTCTCCGGGGGGGGGGGGCGTTGCTATCTCTTTTCCGTTTGGGGCACCGCCCACACACACGCACGCTTGCCGTCTGGACCTCTCCAGTTGGAGAGCCCACGATTTCGGTGCTAGATAAAATGTACGGGGTAACAATCGGTCTGCTTTGATATTGCTGTCGTCTCTCATCGTCTGGTCATGGCCTTGCGTTGCTACCTCGCAAGTGTCAAGGTGGCTCGCGTATTCGGGTGTGCAGAAGCAGACATCACGGATCCTTCAGTGTATACACTTGAACAGACAAGAAAGCAGCCCAGTCCTTTCAGTGATGCAGAAGTAGTATATCGTGGCATCATTTGATGTTTGTGGGGTCTCACGGCGTGTTGGTGTTCGTTCGGGTAGACATGGGGCAGCAAAGCTCTTGCGTCTGTCGACAGGAGTTACATCCCAAGGGGGCGGTTCTCGATTTACAGATTTGATAGAAAGGTTTCAACGCGCGAGTGAAACAGCATAACGGCAGCAACCACAACAACAACACAGCAGCAAAATTTTTACCGGAATGGGTGCCTTAGACGTTCGTGTGAATGCCCCGAAGGCGGCGGGCGGCGACACAAAACTCAGCGACGAAAGTATCAACCCGGGGCACTCACGGAAGGGGAGTCCTCACAATTCTTTGGCCTGTCCGGTGTTTGTTGTTCGCGGCGAGGGGGGGGGGGGGGGGG